GGCTATCTACAATTCTCGGGCCATGAAAGGGGCAAGATTTTTTTGGGTGGTCAGGCTTATGCAGCTCTACCCTGGGATACGCGCTAACAGATAGTCCCGTTGGATTTGATATATGACTTAATTTTATCACTTACCGGTGATGATATTTCCAGAGCAGTGACTCCGGGGGTGCTATCAGTGGCAGTTGTACTCAGGGAGGGGTCCTCGTTGGGAAGAACTGGATCGCTCTTAGTGTTTACCTGGCGTCCGTACTCGTGAATCGTGGCATTGAATCCAGTGGCGGACCCGCTGTTGGCGATATAAGGTGTTTCTAGACGTGGCACGGAGTTCCGTCAGGGAAAGAAGGGGGGATGTAGATTCCCCGAAATAGGCGTGTAGAGTTTCGGCTCTCAGGATCTTGTAGTATTCGGGACGCGGGTCCCTTGGCGATGACGTACGACGGACCTTGGTCACTTCGAGTTCGTCTAAGTCGATCGGTATCAACTTGTATTCGCACAGTTCATTCACACGCGGGGTCAGCGGTTGCGGCGACGGGCACTCCACTGGGGTAAGCGCACGTGGGAGTTTCGTTGAGAGAGAACTTGATGGGCATGAAGAGAGGGAAGAGATGGATATGCCAACGAGGGAGTTGAATTCGTGGGTGGCGGTGCGGATGAGCTGGCGCAGCAGCTCGCAACGTTGGTATTCGCGACCACTGCGTCGTTTCTTTTTCTGGGGCATAAGCAACTTAAGCTCGGGACACTGCAACCGGCTGATGCAACAGATGTGGGCGTGCAACTGACCTGCACCTATCTGCTCTCACACTCGTTACGCAATCTGGTTGGCGGGTGTCGGTTACACTTGGGGTTGTCACGAGGGCCTCGTGCGAGCGTGCAACTGACCTGCACCTGGTGAGCTGTCGCTTGAGGGTGTTCGTATAGACAACGGCAAGGGTTGAGTGATAGATGCTTGGGTTAGCCCGAGGTTTCCTCGTGATCCTCGCACGAGCGTGCTGCTGTCCGGCACCGGTGAGCTCTCGTGTGAAGGATCAAGGTTGTCACGCGATCTCCGCACGAGCGTGCCGCTGTCCGGCACCGGTGAGCTCTCGTGTGAAAGATCCACGTGAACAAGGACAGAAAAGTTGACATTATTATGGGATAGTTTGAAATGGAGGGGTCTAAAGGAGTATAAACCTGATTCTAAACCGTTGGTTGAGTATAAATATGTATATTCTAAAAGAAAACCTTTGGTAATACAGTCTGAGATTACAAGATTCAGTCTCAATATTAGATCTAGAGGGTGTCGAGATCGAAATATTCTAAGTCTCGATTGTGACAAAATATTCTTAGTCTAGATTGTGACAAATATTCTAAATTCAGATTGTGACGAAAATATTCTAAGTGGCGAAAATATTCTAAGTCTAAACGCTTACCCAGAGTTAGGAGGTTGGTGCTTGGGAAGGAGTGCACCGGACCGCGTCCGCGGATGAACTGAACTTCTCGGGCTCAGAGGCCCTCTTTTATACCCAACGGACGGGGCTGGTGTCGAGTTGTAGGTGGCGGTTAGTGTCACTTGGGATATGTGTCAGACTTTCTGATTGGCTATGTAGGAGGTTTGGTGAAATTCCTCTAGGGAGTAAGTGTTATGTGTTCTGATTGGTCTGGGACTATGGAGGAGGCTTTTGATTGGTCGAGGGGTTTTCTCAAACGTCTTAGAGTGTGGTTCTGTTTTTACTAAGACTAGGGTATAGGGTTGGGGATTCTGGTTGGTCCTAGGAGTGTTCTAAGTGTTTTAATTGGGTGGAGCTGGTTTTAGGTTTGAAGGAGAGGAGATTAGAAGTTCTGGGTTTGTCTTTTGATCCGATTTTAGATTTTTAGGAATGTTTTACAGAAATGGCGTGGATTTAGGGCTAAGCGACAGAAGAAGGCAAAGAGGAAGGGAAAAAAATAGGATCTGGGTTTCTCGCCGGATGTGACACGCGTCAGACGTAACACCAAACGCGCGATCGGTGAGACTTCTTTCAAAACGGAATATCATAAGAATAATCACGCATGTACTATGTTTGTAGTTTCCAATCAGAACAGAAATAAAACTCGTATGAGTGGTGACGGCACGCAATCTCTATGTCAAACAGAAATAAAACTCGTATGAGTGGACGTTTCTAAATCTGTGAATAAAAAAGGCGTATGATCGATTGGAACTCATTGGATTTGAATGTGGATATCGAAAGGGTACCACCGGCAAATGTGTCTCGCTACTGCATTGACAAACGCACAAACGCAAGATCGGAAAAACCTCTCTCTCGAAAGATCGCGCAGATGATCGCACGTGAGCAATGTTTACAACCTCTGGTCAATACCAATATAAAACACGCGTGAACGACAACGCTTCTAAATCAGCGAGTAAAAGACGACTAATCAATTGGAACACACTGGAATGAAGGGCCTCGCGAAATTCTATCACAATCCAACATATTACGCGAGATACTCTATGACGGAAAATCTCTCGCGAGGCGTCGAATCTGACTCCACGCGTAACAAGATTATTTATTCACTTATTTATTCACTGGCTCAAATTACAGGACGCGTACACTCTACACCGACCAATACGTCATAAATGTCCGCGTTTACATTACAATGTCGTGAATATCGACGACTTGTGGGAGGCCGATTTGATCGAACTTTGCAATCTTAGGAAATATAACGACAGCTATCGTTACCTGGTGACGATCATCGATGTGTTAAGCAAATTCGTCTGGGTGGAAGCGATACAGGATAAAACGGCCAATGCCGTGACGGAGGCCTTCCGTCGCGTGCTCTCAAGAAACGGTGGTCGGGTACCGGTGTACTTGCAGACAGACAGAAGTAAAGAATTTCTTGGCCAAGCGCTTCAAAAATTTTTAAAGGAAAAGAACATACGTTTTCGCACGGCCCGCAATCTCAATGTCAAAGCGGCCGTGGTCAAACGCTTAAACAGAACGCTCAAGGAACGCTTATGGCATAATTTCACACATAAAAATATCCATCGTTACATCGAAGTTTTGCAAAACATCTTACACGCCTACAATCATACACGCCATACCACTATCAAGATGCAACCTGCGTGCGTCACGTTGGAAAACGCGCGGGTCGTTCGTGAAAATATGAAACAACGTTATTTCAATCTCGACAAGCACGAAGGAAAATTTCGTAATCGAAAAAACTAAATATTGTGTGGGCGAGCTGGCACGCGTTAGTCGGGCGAAAGACACCTTGGAGAAAGGATACGAAACGACTTAGACAGAGAAGATATTTTCGATTCATCGCGTTCTCGAGTGGCGGAATCCCCATATACGAATTGAGCGATCTGGTTGGCGAAGTCATAGATGGAATATTCTACGAGCAGGAATTAGCTCGGGTAAACAAAACCTTGCAACAAGACGAGTTTATCGTCGACAGGGTGATAAAAAATAGAGGACGCGGAAACGCTAAAGAGCTACTAGTCAGTTGGCGAAGATATTCCTCTAAATCCGATTCCTGAATTTCTGCTTCGCGCCTAAAATCGTTTTCGCAGTCATGATGAGAGAACAGTTTCTCATGATTCTGCTGAGCAACAGTAGCATGTGCTACTTTCCGGAAAATACAACTACGGCGTTTATCACGGAATTGTTGCAGCAATTGAATCTACGCGGACAATGGGAGATCGCCCTTACCGAAATTCAGTTTCCCTATAGTTTTTTGCGCATTTGCCCTGGAGAGAGGAGAGTCGTATTTTCGGGTACCAGAGTGAAAAGCGGAAAGAAAGCGATGAAAATCGGCGTTACATCAGACGCCTATGACAATCTGTCAGATCTGATAGAGACGGTGAACACTGCGTTCAGAAAAATTCATGTGGATTTTGAAATACTGCTAGACACGCTATGCGGCGACAAAGTCTTCATACCTATCAAGTGTGATGGTATTATGTGTGAATGGACGTATTATGTAAAATTCTCCGACAAACTCGCGCGTATACTCGGCTTCGATATACACAAAAAGCGTGAAGAACTTGTATATCCTGATGTTTCGAATATCGATATTACATTATAATGTCTCAATACTGATCCCGTGCCTAGTTGGAAACAAGTTGCTTCCGATTTATTTTACAGAATACCTTCGACAACGCGAATACTCGACAGCGATGAACCGGCTAGTGTGGGGCGCGGAATCCCGGATAAACTCTTCGCTTATTGCAACATTTACGAGCCTTATGTTACGAGAGATATACGAGGGTAGATCAAATATAAACGGGAGATATACGAGAGTAGATCAAATATAAACGAACCTTTTGCAAAAAAACCATATATTTTTCAAAATCAATTCTAATTTACATTTTTCTTATTTTTCTACATAGTCCCCTATCTTATCTATACACTTTCTCCAACGGTCTGGTAATTTTTTTAATCCCGGTATCATAAAAAGTTCGCAGACGTGTATCAAGCCAATTGCACACGAATTGCTGCACCTCCACGTTCGTTGTGAAGCGATATCCACCTAGGGCTTCCTTGAGTGGCCCAAACATATAGAAGTCGCATGGTGACAGGTCTGAGCTAGGATGGGTGTTCTAGGACAGCCCGGTGCATATCGGCCAATTTTTGTTGTTACTGCTGTGGTGTGGGGTCTGGCATTGTCATGGAGAAGCAACACACTTTTTTCGAAATCCCAACTCATTGCAAATGATTGATTGCATACTTCTATAGCTGATCTGAAGTTTCTGAGAGATTTCAAGAACAGTTAAGTGCCAATCGCCTTCGATGAGTTCTCGAACAACCTCGGTGTTCTGTGCTGTGATGCTGGTGCGGGGACGGCACGGGTGGGCAATGTTTTCAACACGCTCCCGTCCTTTCTTAAATTCGTTACATCACTGCTTCATCCGAGCCCATGGAAGGGTTCTTTCCCCGAATTGTAGGAGTAATCGACGCCGAATTTCAGCAGCATTTATATTTTCGTTGACGAGAAACTTAATAATAACACGTTGTGCAACTGCGGGGTGTACCTCTTTCTCGCTCATCATGATTACTGCTAAAAGTAAGAAGCACGTGGGGCACTAACGTTATTACTGCCTTCCCTCCACTTACATGACTCCCCTCCACTGTCCAATACGTTGCAGACCCCTCATGCCGCCGACAGGCGCGCAATTTAAAAAGGCTCGTTTATATTTGATCCACCCTCGTAAATAGATTTTGAGTGATCTAAATTTTTCAAACTTACATTATCTTTGATAAATAATTTTAGAGTTTTTGTTAAAATCTCTTCTTCGTTATTTTGCTCTTCTAATTGTATTTTGGTTGCTTGCTATACTAGTAGTACTATGCAAATTAAGTATTGTATGTTCTAAACTAAGCATTGAATATTGCTTTGATAATTCAGTAGCAAATCCTAATTTTGTTTCATCACTTACAAAATTTAAAAACATATCTGCGGAGATATCATCAGGATCTAAGACACAATATCTGTATATGTCGGATTTATAACATCTTTCAATGTCGTACAAACCCCACATACATATACTTGTGGTGCGCACGCATATTTTATATACAAGTATATGGGACTTACAGTTTAACGCCGATTCCGAACGGCAGTTTTGAGTGTAGTTTTTGCGGCAGAGATACTCTCGATGGATGTCAGTCCATCGGAGAGGAGATACGAGCATATGCAAATATTTTGGTTCTGTCGAGGCGAACCCGAGAACTCCAATATAACAGACCAGTGCACTGTCTGTTACGCCACGCTCGCACTCACAATATTTAAAATCTCTTAAAGAATTATTTCCATTTTCTCTCTGCCTCATTGCATCTAAAGTGACATTCCAAATTAAAAATATTGTTTTAGTATAATTGATATTGCTGTCACTTAAAGTTGAGAAGCTCCTTTATTTTTCTGTATATTTTTCCAGATAATCACTAATTTTGAAATTTGGCTCTAAGATTTTCAACCTCTCATTCTGCACTTTTATGTATACTACTACTTATTATAATGTTAAAGAAAAAAACAGTAGTTTCTTTGCCAACGCTTTAATACTTACTTTCTGTTCTATGTTGAGTGATTTTTTGATAAACTCTATTGCATCTTCCTCCTTAAACTGTGATATTACATCTAACTGTAACACTTGTACATTCCTTGGCCATTTCTAGTTACGAAAGGTAATTAAAACATGCGACCTGTTATAGTTAAATGGGAAAAATTTGTATACCATTATTAAACTCATCTTGACTTTTATATTTTTCAGTATTATCAAAAATAAAAAGACTCTTTCCATTAGAAAAGAATGTATACACATCTTTAACTTATTTCCTTTTCTTCACCACTTATTATACATTTTTTATATTAAATCTCAATTTATCACAAGCTAACCCACGAAAACATTCCACAAAAGTTTGAAATTTTTAGCATTTATCCAGACAACTTTATTATCATACTTTTAGCTATATTTGTTGATATATTTTCTAGCTGGTTCACTTTTATCTACACTACCAGGACTGTTTATAGATATAATCTGCGATATTACAGTTTTATAAGCTTCATCTTGCAATATTTTATGCAGATCATCCAATTGCTCAGCTCTTCCTATAAATGACTCTACCGGAGTCTCTCTCTCACACCAAACCAAATACGAATTCCTCTTTTGAATTCTTCAAGNCATGTGAAATCTGCTCCCGCACCAATCGAGCTCAAATTGGTATCATTAGTTGGTACCCCTGAGATATGAAACTTCCCCAAACATGATCCTTCAAAATGCATTTTTGGGGAGTTATGGAGGGGGAAAGCAAAATAAAAAAAGTGGTTTTTCTTGAAAACGGCTCAACCGATTTTAATGAAAAAAATATATTTTGTAAACATCGTTGAGGTAGATTTAAGAAAATTTTTTGTAATTTTTGTGATGAAAGAAAAACTGGTAAAAAATTTTTTGAATTTTTTATAAATTTTTTTCTTGTGATACTCTTGAGTGACCACTTTCTATATTTACGCGAAAATATCTCAGGACTCTCTACTTTAACATATATTTTCGTCAAATTGGTCAGCTGTGGGGAACATAGTTAAAAATAATAATCATTCGCGCAACGCTGCGCTACGCCGCGACCAGGCAACCGTGGCCCCGACGCGTCGTTGCGCTCGGTGATCGTTACCATGGGACTTACATACTAGCTTTGTTGCAGTATTGCAATGTTTCGTTTGCCAAGAAAATTGATACAGTAAAAATTTTATTATTACCTAACGTTTATTCAGCATATTATGGTATAATAATATATATAACAATATATGATATTTCCATTAAAGACGTCTGCAGTTGACCTATACAAAACTTATAGTTCTCGAAGTTCACGAGGAGGTTGCAGTACGTTTTCAAACTTCATTTTCGG